TGCACAAAGGGCTGTTTAATTCTGCACTGTTGACGATGCATCTCAGACACTGAGAGTGCAAGACATACGAGTTCAAAAAAACAAGACCTGGTTTCAAATTTTCTGGACCAAACTCAAAATGCTAAACTTCATTCTGAGATAAGAATTCCATTATTGTTGAATTTTTTCATAAATAGCTTGAAACAAAGATCCAATGCAAAAAAAAAAAACCCAAAACCACCACAACAGAAATCTTTTACATATTCACCTTGGCAGCATAGCTCCACATTTCAATACGATCGTTAAGGCGTTTCTTGCATTCAGGTTGCAACCTCACACGCTTATCTTCCAGAGCTTCCATTAAGCATGACATTTCTGTAATGCACAGAAGATGGTGTTACAAAACAGAAACAGTGGCTTCAACAACATGCTACAGAAAGGCTGCTGGAAAGGGACACCTCAATCCTCATAAAGGCTGACAGTTACAGAGCCTTCTAAACAGACTAGCCAGCCTAACATGACTATATACAAAGACCTGTTGTACCCCTGAAGTTAGCAATTTCATGAAGATTGATGATGAATATTGCATTTTGAGGCGCAAGGCATTTTGACTTCCAAAAAGAAATTACAGTACATATCCAAGATGTAATTCATGTGATTTACATGAGATTTTATAAAGTCTTATAAATTTGCACCTTCAATGAGCTATACTCTAAACTCCATGCCACTAACCGTTAGAGAGAACTAAGATCAAATTCAGCTCAGGAAAAAATAAAAATGTTATCTCCTTAGGCTTGTTAGGAGTTTCTTTTGATCGATAGAATGTTTTGGAAAGGTCTAACTTCCTGAGTTTTCACACACCCCTGCAAAAAGGAAATGGGATCACAATGTTCTGGGTGTCTATGGAGTGGCTTGGCTAACCCATAAGCTCTTCTACATGCTCGTATGAGACACTGACATAAAATATTTTATACTTATGCTGTCTTACTTGAGTAATCCCTAATTGGATGCCTTCTGCTTTGCAGTGAAGAGTTATTTTGTTCATAGCAAACAGGCTGCAAACTTTAAACTAACTCCAGACTTTTTAAACAGAATTATCAGTTCAAACACTCAAGAGGCAGATCCCTCTCTAAGCTACAGACTTCTGCATACCTTCAGAGCAAACACAGCACAACACACATCAAAAGAACCACAACAAAACAGGAATAAACAAAGGATATCCAGAGTTTCAGAAAGGCATTCAGTAACCAGAACAAAAGATAATGATCAGAAAAATACTCGGCTGCTATTTTCAATGCCAGATAAACTCAGAAAGATGGAAAGTTCAAAACTTTTTTTCCCCACCAGTTTTCCTTAAACAGTCATAGATACTGTCCAGCTAGCTAACATAATGGCAGGAACAAAGTGCAAGAGCTTGACCTCAAACAGGAGAAGAATGGGTTAGGAAATAAATGATATTTCAAGTGGTCTGAACCTGCCGAACTCAGCCTTGGAGGACCTGGAACAGCTGATAAAGTCTCAAAGCCTTTAGCTGCTATCTGAACTTACAAAGTGTAGTAAAGACTATCTACCCTCTGTAATATTAGAAAAGAAAGAACTGGTATGTTTAAACAGAGAAGAAAAAAAAAGATCAAAGGACTTCGGTTTAATTTATCTGTCAAAATACTGAAACAAAGGAGCCAAGCACAGACAAAGACTGATACAAAGAAAGGAGAACCAAAGGGATTAGCCAAGACTGAATCTTGTGAAACCAAATTGATCTGCTTCTGTAAGAGAACCAGCTTAGCTCTAAGGAAGCTTTTGACACAGTCCGATACAACATTGTCGTAAGCAAGCCTGGGAGCTGTATCTTGTGTGAAGCCGATACAGGGTGGGAGATAAATCCCACTGCAAAACGAGTCCATGTACTTCAGCCCACATGTGTTAAGAGCTCATTTTCAGTGGGATTTAACCGAGAAGGGATTTTACAGAAGAGTTACAGATCTGGTATCACCTGCTATTGTCAGTAATCATATGAATGATCAAACATAACATATACTCATTAAATTTGCAGATTATTGAAAAAGAGGTCCCGCCTTGGACACAAGGAAGGACTTCTGGATACCCATCTTCTAGTGGCATCTACCACCTCTGCAGCTTTTCCACCTTATTACTTACAAAAGACTGGTGGAAATGTCTTGTACTTAAGATAATGCTGATAAGAAAATGCAGCTTAAGGCTCTCAGGACTGAGAGGTTATATAAGTAAAGCACGAGCACTTACGGCGTCCTCTCCCTGGTGGAATGGCAGCACAGTGGTGTTTGATGTCTAGGGCACAGGCTGTGTGGAGCACTGGATCAACAAATATATCTGCCTTGCTTTCCTTCAGCATGTTGAGTACTTCCTAGGGAGGGGGAAATTACAAGTACATCTCAAAAAAAAGGAGAGTGCACCATACTGCTCAATGTTTCTGAAAGGTGCATCATCTTTTTAAATCCAGTATCATGAGATAAACCACCACTGTCCCTGAATGAGGTTATGAATGCTGTTTTAGGCTGGATTAAATAACCTGGTTTACAACGGTCACCATACTTATGTTGATTAAAATACCCATATTAATCTAAAATACAAAGTCAATGCCAGGGTTACTTCAATTAGAACTGAAGTAAGGTGCCATAGCCCTGGGGCAATTCATGCAGCCCTTGACCATAGCCAGTGCCCAGGCCATACACAGCACGCAGGAAGCCTGCAACAGAGACAGCAAGAGGAAGCAAATTAGTAACAAGAAACTTTGGCAACCATAATCAAGAAAGTATCAACGCCTAGAATTGCAAAGGAGGCATTGTCACCACAATTTTCACTGGCAAATTGAAATTGAATTGAATCGCTGCAGGCCAGAACTCAGACATGCAAGGAAATTTGCAGAGCTCTGGCTTCATACTAGCTAGAACATGGCCTGGGCTGTGATCGG